CAGGCCGCAGCGCCCCGCCCTCTCTCCGCCCCCGCCCCCTCCCCCGTCGGATTCCTCCCACCCGCCTCGCGTTCCCACCAGCGCGCGCAGAGACCGGGCCGCCCCGGAACCTTCACCCGCCCCTCCCCCTCCCTCACCGGCCGGCACCGGAACGTTCCCGAAGAAAGCAACCGCGGCAGCACCTCAGGGAATGCGCCACTACATCCGGGACCCCGGCTCGAAACGTCACTTCCGCCCCCTAACAGCCGAGCCCGCGAGAGAAAAGGTCGGGGAGAAGAACTGACGGCAAGACTCCCTCCCAGCCAATAGGAAGAGAAGAGAAGACGTCTCTCCCAGCCAATAGGGGGCGAGGGAGTTTCTCCCAGCCAATAGGAGACGAGAGAGCTCAACCGGGGGAGCCCGAGGTCCCGCAAGTGGGTTTGTCTGTGGCCGCAGGCAGCGGCCAGAGCGGCCCTTGCCCTTCCAAAATCTCGCCCTCAGAGCTGACCCAGTGCGGGCTCCTCGGCCGGGCTCTGCTCCCTGCAGCCCAGGGCAGGGGGCTGCGCTGCTCTCCCCGGGGAGGGGCCCAGGCCCCCTCCAGTCGACACGCGTCCGGGTGATGCGTGTGGCAGTGACCAGCGCTGCCCAGTTAATCGCCAGTCACGTCGGACCCGGCGTGTTCCTCAGACCTGGCGGCTGAAGTCCCTGCTAGGTTCTAAGGGAGCGTCTCAGCTTCATCTTCTGGAGTTTCTAGCCTCTGTGCTCATGGGGGGAAGCTGGCAAATGCGATCCCTGGCGGTTCCAAAAAAGGCAAAAGAACCCAGAACCATGATTTTAGCCCAACCTCATGTGTTTGAGGGACCTGTCACTGGTTTCTCCGTCCATTATCCATGTCTGTTGTTGTCCTGTAGGATTTAGGCCTCAATTCAGTGTGACATGAGCAGGAGAATGTTTCCAGAGACAGTTCTGATTTTGAGTTATTGTGGCTTTTATTTTATTTTCAATGTATTGTGGCTACTGGAAAATTGTCAGAGATCAATGATCTTTCCAATTTCCCAGTCACATACCAGCGTCATAGAAGTGCTTATTGTACTTCCAGAGCCTTTGCTTTTTAAATGTATGAAGAACAAGTAGAGATTTGATTTGCTCACAGGACCCTATTGTCCACAGTTAGGCTGGGGTTTTTTACTAGACCAGGTCACAAATACCGGACTGTCCGGGCCAATACCAGACACCTGGCAACTCTATGACCACAGTGTTTATTTTGCATACACATCTTGCTGCTGCTATTTCCCTAGAAAGTGTTTAACTTTATCACTATTATGTTGTCTGTGTTTTCACTGTCAAACTGTCCATGTGGATTGCTGTATGTGCTGGTATACAAACATGGCTTGGCTCCCTGTCAAGACATAGAAAGGCAACAAAGATGTCTGAGATTCATCTTGCCATTGTGCACATTGAATTTATTGCTTAGTATAATGTTCCCCCAACCTTTTTATGCTCAAGATCACTTTGGAATTTAAGGACAACCCAAGATCTGCCCTCCCTGCTCCTTCTCTGAGGCACCACCTTTCCCCCAAAACCCCAGCTCACTCACTCAATTCCTCCTCTCTCCATTGTTCTTTCACCCTCACTTTTACTGGGCTGGGGCTTGGAAGAGGGACTGGGGTGCAGGGCGCAGGCTCAGGTTCTGGGGCTTGGGATGCAGGAGGTGGAATGGGGGTGCTGGCAATAAGTGGCTGGGGCAGGCTGGGAGCCTGCCAAGTGCAGATCACAATTGACTAGGAGACGTCCTAGGATTGATCACTCAATTGCAATCTACTGGTTGGTGAACAATGACTTAGTAAAAGCTATTGGTTTACTAATTTGTCAGTAGACCTGTTTATTCTTTAGAAAGAAAAGAAAGATATATTAAAATCAATATATTTTCATTTAAAAGTAAATATTAAATGCTTATATACATTTCTAAACATTATTAAATGGAAACTATAATTTAAGAAATATACATCAAAGCTCTTAAAGCGGAATGTGAAAACAATACAAAATTACATTCTGGTGCACCTGTATTAGAAAAATGAAGAAAATACAGTAACTTCATTTTAATAAAAAATTTTTTTTGAAGAAAATTCCAAGATAAAGAAATATACATTTTCTTGCTTGCTAAGGTTTCTAAGTACTTAATTATAAAGATGAATAATGCAAGTCCAGGTCAACAGCACTTTTATTTATTTTGAAATAAAATTATATTTATTTTATTCTCATCTAACACAATTTTTGAGATATAGTGCAAACTGCAAAGAAGAAGTCATAAATGTGACTCTGGACGTTTTGACAATTGTGTAGGGCAGTGTTTCTCAACCAGTGGTATGAGTAGAGAAGTCTGGGGGGGTACATCAACACAACTGAAATTTGGAGAAAACTGAATATTTGTTTTGTTTGACAGCATTTTATTATTTTTGCCTACTTTTACACCCAAAAATTTCATAACCTATCCGGCTACGGTTAAGTTGTTTAAACAAATGTGTTGCAACAATAGAAAAATATTGTCTCTGAAAACTGTAGGTACTGGGGGTAATTACAAAATTGTTTTTAAAGGGATACTTTTTTTTTTTAAATAAGGGTTGAGAAACACTGGTATAGGGGTCATTTGAGACTTTTTACTCCTAACAGTTGAGATTGTTGGATAAATACATTGTCTGAATGTATCTTCTCAAATAATCAACAGTTGAAATACTCAACAGTGTTGACATCTAAATGTTCATCCTAAAATTTCAAGATTAACCATATGAGATGCACAAGACAGTTTATGCCTCTGAGGGCTATTGATTAAAGCTACATAACTCCATGTTTTCAAGATTTTCTTTGTAACCACAAAGTTTAGAAAGTTAATTTTGTAGTAAAATCTTGGATTCTAGAGAATACAATTCTATGGGCAATGAATGGATTTCATAGTGAATTCTGTGGTCAGAATATGGGGGAGCCTAGCTGTTTGTAAATCAAACTTTGCCTTAAATCCCCCTTTTCTTTCTGAAAATCATAAGTACTTGAGACTGCACCTATATGTCAAAAACCTGATTTTGTATTACCTTTTTATTTTTGTGCAAATCATTGTTAATTTGTTCAATGTTATTAAATGCAACAATTTTTAAACTACATTTAAAGACAGTAGAATCAGCCACTGTGCCTAATTGCTGTCTTAATTTGTGAAATACTTATTTTACAGACATGCATTCTGCATTCCATAATGTATTGGTGCTCACCTCACATTTTGCTTATTTCAGATACACACATGATTTCCATTCCCGGGTATATATTCAAAAATATTGTTACTCAAGTGGGTTGTGCCCACAAAAGCTCATAATACCATTTACATGTTGTTAGTCTGTAAGGTGCTGTAAGACTATTTGTTCCTTTTTTAAATTTTTCCAGTTACAGACTAACTCAGTTACCCCTCTGAAGCTTTTGAACACATTTTATTTATTTCAGAAGCACATGACTTTAGAAAATGCTGCATAAAGGTCTCGTTTAATTTATACCAAAAGCTGTCATGTCTTTTGAAATGTTATGTTGCCTAGCTGAATGGGGTAGAGTTTTCTTTTATAAATTTATGAACAATAAAGGAATGGGTTAGCAATTTTAGCTCACACTTACCCAATGGTGGCATTGCCGAGCTTTATACGGTCACAGATCCAAGTATCTTATGTAATTTTCATTGTAACTCATTAAGTGCTTAATGGACATAAAGTCCAAGCATCATTACATAGTTAAATAAAGTTCCTGGTCACATTTTCTTGGGGATTGCTTGTTTAGCTGAATGATGTGAAACACGCAACCTAATAACTCCCTAATGCCTGTTTATGTGCATATGCTGAAAAGCATGTTATTTAAATTAAATTTGGCCCCATTCCTACTAATATGTCCTGTTGTCTTAACTTTTAAGGTCCATTTTAAAGTTTTGTAAGACAGGGTTGCCTTTGGCATCAGCTTGTACTCCAAAATATTAATAACAAGTTAAGATATTTATGTGCTTTATGCGGGCCATGAAATTTAGACAGGACATCTATTGAAATTTGCATGGCACACTTTGAAGCAAAATGTGCACTTTAGTGCCCAGTTTATATATCTGAAGGTCCAAAACACAACGGCTACATCTACACTGGCATGAATTTCCGAAAATGCTTTTAACGGAAAAGTTTTCCATTAAAAGCATTTTCAGAAAAGCGCATCTAGATTGGCAGGATGCTTTTCTGTGGCCAATCTCGACGCGGTTTTCCGCAAAAAAGCCCCGATCGCCTTTTTCATGATTGGGGCTTTTTTGCGGAAAACAGTACTATGCTGTCTACACTGGCCCTTTTGCGCAAAAGTCTTTCGGAAAAAGACTTTTGCCCGAACGGGAGCAGCATAGTTTTTCCGGAAAAGCACTGATGATTTTACATGAGATCGTCAGTGCTTTTCCGGAAATTCAAGCGGCCAGTGTAGACAGCTGGCAAGTTTTTCCGCAAAAGCAGATGATTTTGCGGAAAAACTTGCCAGTCTAGACACAGCCAACTTGTTCTCTTCAAAAATACTTCTTTCTCCACTGATTTCGTCTTTTTTCTTTTAAAAATCTTTTACATGATTTTTATGTACATGTTTAATGTCGTTCAATAACAATGTCAAAATAAGGATGCAAAACAGAAGAATATAAATCTTAGTCTAATACTGTCACTTCAGAAGAAATTCTCAGATAACTAAAGAGAGAGATTCAAGAAGTTTGCTGAGGTAGATCAATTGATTATACACATGGTTATACAGAGAAAAGCAGCTGGGGAAGGCATAAAGAAAGATGAACATTGAGAAGATGTAAAACAAAGGTGGGCAGGGATGAATAGCAAAAATGGTGTAGAAAACTGGGATGAAGAGAGATTGAGAACAGAATTAGAGAAGGTTGACATGGGGAGAGAGAGAAAGACAGGTAGAGTGAGGGGAAAAGAGAAAAAAATGTAGGTCTAGAACAAAATGTACATTAAAGCAAGTCTACACTACAGGCTTAAGTCAACCTACTTTATGTAACTTCAGTAATGTGAATAACATAGGTGGAGTTGACATAGCTTCGGTCAGCTAACTGTGGTGTCTACATTATGCTGAGTCAATAGAAGCTTTCCTTTTGACATTCCTTAAGTTCTCATTCTGATAGGCTATGTCTACACTCGTGTCTTCTTGCGCAAGTATGGCCATTCTTGCGCAAGAATCAGCAGAGCATCCTCACTGCCTGCCCGCTCTTGCGCAAGGAAATTTACAGTACAGCGTGGTAAGAGAGGGCTCCTTGCGCA